AGAAGGCTGAATACTCTGTGCCTTGGAGTGCAGCACTGCCAGTAAGAACCTGGGCACAAGAAGCTGGATGTTAACGTGACACTGAAATGAATGTCTTTTACAGCTACACCCTCAATGCTACTCTGGACTTTTTCATATCAGCCATTCGTTCCAACTTCACCAGTGCTTACAGTGATATTTTAGGTACGTTCACTGCTGCACGACCCATAAGACTTCTCACTTAGGTATGAGGTCCAGAATTACTCACACTGCACCAGAGTGCATCCTCACACCCACCAGCCATCACCAGCACTGCTCATAGAGCCACAGCAACGTGCAGGTTTGATTTGTGCTGATGCAAATGCACAGAGCACAGTTTGCAGGGTAATCTGTTCCTCCTAGCTCCCCTACAGAAGGGTTTGCAGAGCCCCACAAAGGGAGAAGAATGCAAGAGAACAGAAAGCTCGACTAAGAGAAGTGATGGCTGTAACTGCTGATAATGAGATCCCTAAATTTAATGGCAGTGATGTGATCATGCACACAGAGTGGACAAACGGATGTAATGAAATAGACAAAAGCTAAAATTTCATTATTTCCTGACTGCTAGGTAACAGAACAGGCTTTCTGTTGCAGCTCAATGTTCTGCAGCTTTCCAGCTATTTCCCAGTACGTTATTGCAGTATAAAGCAGGTTACTGATATTTAAATTAATGGCACCATTCCTTTAATCACAGCCAGAATGACTTCCCTTTGTTTAACCACAAACACAGCAACCTGTTCTGCTCTTGCAGAAGTACCAACATCACCTACAGAGGAATTCATGGGTGAAATCCACCCTCAGAAAACTTCATAGTAACAGCCACTGAATTCACATAGCCAGAACCTTACTGAGCATCCAACATCAAGAGATTTCCTTCACTGAGTGGTAAAGGATATCGTGCTGCTGGTCCACCAAATAATTCTAATTCGCTTTACTGAGCCAAATTCAAGATAACAGGTGGAAGTAACCCCCAAAATACAGCACGCATTATGTTTTTCAGGCAGGATTTTCCTTTTAAGTTGGTAGCTGAAGGAAGATCACTGCAATTACTCTCTACACAGTTCTGAAGCCAACGGTTTAACAAGGAATTCTACAGCTCACCTCATCAGCTGCCTCAATGACATATGGAACAACGCTCATCAAAAAACCCTGGACTGTTAAAACATAAGAAGAGGTTGCGGCCTTAACTTTAGAGCCTTATTTTTATTGAATTCTTATCCATTAATACAGTTTACCCAATGTTAATACCAGTACTCTGAAGTGAAGCACTTGCACCAGCAGCACTTGTTGGCTGTGGCTGGTAAGTTTTAGCAAATAGTCCCTTATCAGCCCTTTTCTAACACACATAGCTTGCACTTTTTGCAGCGGCGTTAGGTGAAAGCTAAGCTGAATGACTGCGCCACGTGACAAACAGATGTGAGCACCTCCTGAACTTGAGCACGTGCTCTGATCCCATTGAAAGTCATGGGACTTTTGCACAATCACATCCATGGCGCTGAGGGTTTGTGCTCTGCTGGGAAGCGCCCTCCTGCTAGCAAGCTCTCTCCAGCACCACGCAGCAGTGATCAAGCACGAGCAGTTTCAGAAAGCAGGTCCCTCCATAGGAATAACTGGACTTAAAAAAAGCAAGCTTTTCCCTGTGCATACCTAACACCTACACAGAGCAAACACAAACACATTCAGGGCACACCAACTCTTTCTCTCATCTTTCCTCTCCCTTCCCTGCAGAGGTTTGTCCTCCATCCCGCTGCTCACTTACTGAGCTGTTCACCAAGCCCACTGTCTCTGCAGTGCCTCCTTTCCAGCCTCCTGCCAGGCACATTCTGGTGTGGCTTCACAGCTGCTTGCAGCCCACACTCAAACACAGCATGCCACCCTTCTGACCTTCTTTCTGGCCAACACTTAAAGCCATTACATACCTACATCTTTTTCAGCCTTAGAAATGTACTGATAGAATTGCCCATAGCATTCCTAGCATCTCTGCCTTCCTTCTTGTTCATCATAGCCACCAGAAGTGATGGACCACACCAATGGGCGAGCACAACTCACTCTAAGCAGGATCACTCAGCTGGAGTTGACAACACTCAGCAGACAGGGCTTCTGACATCGCTTAAAGAAAACTGATTAGTTTTCCTTAAACAATGCTTGTAAATCACAACAACAAAAGCTGAATTTGCAGAAGGAATTCATCTTCAAAGGCACACTCAAGAAAAGTACCAATATCTCCCACCTGCTTTAGAAAAGCATCCTGAAAGTCACAACTCACCCCTACTGAAAGGGAGAAAAGCACCAGAAAGCAGAAGCTATGCACACTGAGTACTGCAGAGCTGAAAACTGCTTCGCCATCACGTCAGCATTCTGATCAGGAAGGAGATGGCTGGACTGAAACTAGCAAGACGCTTTGGGAAGGAAGAGAGCAATGGAATTAACAGGAGAGGCAGAAAAGTAAAACCCAGGAAAGATCTCAGTTAGCAAAAGTAGTGCTTTACCTTGCCATGGAAACTATCAATATTTTATTTGTAAGTGAAGAATAACATGCCTGGTGAGGAAAACAAGAAAACAGCATTCAGGAGTTCAGTCTTCAATGAAAAACTCCTTTAGGAAATGGTATCGACCAAGTTCAAAGAGCATCTAACACCAAAAGCAATGTTCTAGGCACACTGTGAAGCAACTGAAGAAGTATTCTGCTGCTAAAAAAGACTAAAAAAAATATGCAAACTATATACTGGTAACTATTAGTTCCAAATCCTCAGTTTTCACCTACCTCATAAATGTGTTTTAATGCTATTTCTGTTTCAGAATAGAAGAAGAAAAACCATAAAGCAATCACGCAGGCTCAGCATACCAGATGTCAATTAAGGCAGCCAGGGAAGCGGAGCCATGGGGCCTGTGCCTCTGGATGGTCTCAGGGTGCCAACCTGTCAGAAGCCAACGTGGAAATCTGCACTGCTAGGAGAAGGCACAAGCAGCCAGCACTCCTGCACAAAGCAGGCAGCAGAGGAGCACCTGGCAGCTCCTGCACACTGATTTTCAGTCTCCACAGCAGAGCTGTAACAACCACCAGGGCTGATGTACAGAAGGGTTTCTATCTCACTGCTGACCTCCATCTCCTACATCAAAACAAGCACATCAAAACAACCCACTGAGAAAACAGCCATTTGTAACATCTGGTGCCAAGCATTACCCACTATACTCCCAAGATTTTTCAATGATTCTGACTAACTCTAAGTTCAAAGGGCTGATAACACATCCCTGGCACTCGTGTCTCGTTACGCAGGAAGCTCTCCTGGCAGAGGCTTCTCACCCTGACTGCTCCTTCTTGCCATCTACAAAGTGGCTCACAGACACCTTACAAAAGAACTATGGAGTTCTTGGAGATTTCTTTCTTTCACTACAAGCTTAAAGGGATCTCATACAGATTTTAAACCTGTCCAACCTGGCTGAAGTTCAGGGATTTTAAAATCTGTATCTGAGGATCCAATGACTCCCTCTGCATTCACACATGGGCTAAGCAGAATCTCTGCTAGCAAGCAGCGCAGCAGAAATTACCTCCGTACCCTCAGTCAAGGACAGTCCTAATGAAGCATTCTTATTTTTAATACAATATGTAGTATTTTACTTAATAGGTGCCTGCAAGCTATTAGGTACAAAGGCATATATATTAATCAACAAAACTCTCACTGGGTCTGCTTCTCCCCACATACTGACAGATCTGTATAGAAGCTCTACTTCAATTTTAAGAGGTGTTCCTGCATGACAGACAGCAGTAGAGGCGATGCATCCTCAACAGCCTGAATTTAAACTGGAGAACATGGTCTGGAACTGGAGAACTGGTCTGGTATTAAATGTGGAGGCTGGTGGCCCTGCCTGCAGCACGGGGGTTGGAGTTTCATGATCCTTGGGGTCCCTTCCAAGCCAGGCCATTCTGTGATTCTATGAACATGCTGAGATGAGGACAACTACCTGGAGAGTACAAGTGGATTAATATGTAAGAAATCAGTAACCTGACAGTGTAACTGCCAAAAAGCAAGGGAAAGGCAGGGCAACAGTTGCATGAGACAAAGGCATGAGTCCCAAGCCAATGAATAGGACGGTCACCTCGAAGTCTGTAGTTTAAACAGATTCACCCAGGACTTTGAAAACCAGAATAAGTCAATCTACAGAAAAACAGCTGCAAAGCAGCCCTCTTTGAGTAAGAGGGCAGAGAGGACTGGGCACTCCAAGAGGATTCAAAGGGCAGAACTTGCACATCAAATACCACTCATCACCACGTCTGCAGAAGAACAAGAAGCCCAGCTCCAAGCTACTCTTTTATCTGGAAGCCTCCACTAGTAATTTCAGTTCTCTTGTGCTGTCTTTGCTACTTCCACAATTCTAATTAAATAAATCCCAGAGGTCACAAGGTAAGGATACAATTCTCAGTAATTAATCTCTTCAAACTGTAACTCAGTCTGGTATTTCTGATGTTACAAAGGAATCCTGTGGCGAGCCTAAGATATTCCAGCAGAAGCCGAGCTACGATCAGCATCTTCCTGTCACTGAGATTACAAAACAGCTGAAGAACTGTCAGGGCACCCAACGTTGTCGCTGTGAGATAGCAGCCGTCCCTGAAGAGCAGTACATATGTGGAACAGAGCAACAGGGAAGAACAAAGATAAAAGCTTTTGACCTTTGCTCTGAACTGAAAGCATGAATCAGCAAAAACAGCAGTTTCTGTACTCTTTAACGTGCAGCTCAGCATATTTGCTGCCAGTTGTACTCGCTGTTTGTCATGCTCGTGCAATCAGAGAGTAAGATCTGCCTCCCTTACCCACACATGTATCTAGCGTGAGATCTGGTATGCCATCAGTAGCTCCCTCCCACAAGACCAAAGTAGCATCTACCCCTCAGATCCAGAATTGCACGCACGCCATTAGATGGGAGTAACAGCCACACCAAGGTCTTCAGAAGCAGGAGATGAGACAGAATCCTTGGGATCTGACCTTGCAGTCTTCTGTGGCCTGGGCGCAGCAGAGAACCAGGCAGAGAGCACCAGGCGGCAGCGCAGCAGAGCCATGCTGGCCATCTGCCTACAGGGGAACGCACCGCCTCACCTGGGAGGAGAGAATGGGAGAAAGGCAAGAACTCTCACATTTACAGGAAGAGGCAACGAAACGTGTGAGCAAAGGAGGCATTAGGTCAGAAGACACTGACAGATCCCTGGAACACCAGAAGTTTATCTCAGTCTTGCAAATGAGCAGACCAGATAAGAAGAAAAGACTCGAGCACTCTTTAATCAGCTTTCTGAGGACAAAAAGTTATCCCCATTTTTAGCGCTGTGAGTTTATTTCTCTGTCTAGCACTGCTTCTGGTGCTAACCTCTGGAAATCTCTCCTTCCAAGCATCAGAAATTGTCTCTGTGCAGCACACGTTACTTGAAACATCTGCTACTCAGGCTTAAGGAGACTGAATCAGCTTCCAAAATGGACCAGGCAAAGGGTCAAGAAATTAAACCTTTAAGCTGCTGATGAGCACAGCCTCTTGCTCCCATTACCAGGAGCAATCCTGCCTCACCTGGCAGCTCTGCTCACTCTGTCGCCTCTGTCCCCATGGCACAGGCAGCAAGAGGGACAGCAGCAGTTTCCTCATCCCTTGGGTGATCTGTAACCATGTGGCAGATGCAACAATCACCAGCAGTCATTGCTTCAGGGTGGTGATAGAAAAATCCCCACTGTCCAAACATGGAGCTGTGCCCAGGCTCTTCTTTAACTCAAAATGTGTGTGAACTGAGAGCTCCTTGGGCTCACTATCTGTCTTTTGGGGTGATGAGCTGAAAAACAGAGGTTTCACACACCTCGATGAACTTCACCACCTGCTATAGTCTTTTACGGATCTCCCCCCTGTAAAGATGACAAGAAAGAAGAGAGGAAACAAGCAAGAGCCCTAGTTTTCAGATCTGCTCCTCTGTGACTCTCATCAGCCCCAAATTTCCCAAGTAAGCCTCAAAAATTTACAAAAACTGCCTGCTGCCCATGCCAAGACAATGTCCCTTGCTTGACCAGTCTATGTCTCACACTCCATTACAGTCCCCTTGACCTTGAAGGAACACAGTTGGAAAGCAAGTCGTCAGGGACAGAGGGTGAGCAGCAGCATAGCCTGTCTGCTCCAGGAGAGCTGATGCCTGTCCAGCAAGACCCTGGGACACGTTCCCTCCAAAGAAAGGTGCCTAGCCTTTCATCTCTGTTCCTCAAGGTCCCCTCTCTAGGGATAGAGACAGATGAATGCAAGAGATGTGCCTCTTGAGGAAGGACGAGAAAAGGCGTACATCACCACATCCTTTTGAAGCTGAGGTGGTAAAGCAAACACCCTTCACTTGGAAGGATAAGAAGCAAGGACTGCGCATCTGAGATGCCTGTTGCATCCCCTTGAAGCAGAAAACAGAAGTTCCATTTCATGCCTCTCCCAGTGGAAGGATGATTGGGTTGGGGAGATGAAACTCCATCGCTTTCCTAGAAGAGAGGATGACAGTAGCAGAGAAGCCAGGTTTCAGCCCGCTCTTCCATGGGGTTCCTCACCAAAGAAAAGAGATCAGAAGCATGCACGTGGCAGGGAGACAGTGGACAAATAACTGCCTGGTATCCCCTGGCTCTTCCTGAAGAGCAGGTATGCATACTGAGGGGACAGCAGTAGGGACAGCAAAACTCCACTCCCACTCACCCTTTCCCATCTGGGAAAAGGTCAACTCTTTGAAAGGGGAGATGACAGCAGGACAAGGGGAAATGGTTTGAAGTTGAGGGAGGGCAGATGGAGGTTGGATGTCAGGGGGAAGCTGTGTGCTGTGAGAGTGGTGAGGTGCTGGAACAGCTGCCCAGAGAGGCTGTGATGCCCCGTCCATCCCTGGAGGTGTTGGAGGCCAGGTTGGATGGGGCCCTGGGCAGCCTGGGCTGCTGTGAAATGTGGAGGTTGGTGGCCCTGCATGGCACAGGGGGGTTGGAGCTTCGTGATCCCTGAGGTCCCTTCCAACCCGGGCCATTCTGTGTGTGATTCTGTGAAATGGGAAGCACAAGCAAGAAGGTTCTCAGCCACCTTCCTCTGTACCTATCAAGGAACAAGAGAATGCCATTCCATACATTCATCTCTGTATGCCAGGGAGTGCATGCCCAGATGCCCCTTTCCTTTAGGTGCAGAGGGAGGAAATAGAGGGAAAGATGCCCAGATCCCCTTTTTGCCAGAAGCATGTGAAGAGATGAGCAGGGTCTCCTCTTCCCATGAGTCCACATGCAGCATGGGGGTACCCAGCGCCTCCTATCCTCAGGATGCATTAGGGGGATTCATCGCCCACCCTCTCAAGTCCATGTTGAGTAATACCCCATTCTCTATGGGCACTGGACAGCCCCTCACCTCCTGGATGCACAGCATTGGCTCGAGGAGGCTGCCCGATGCCCCCGGATGCCAAAAGGGAAGAACACCCTCCTTGAGTGTCTCTCCTTGACCCATTTATGTGTGAGACACGATGCCCAGCTGCCCCCATCCCTTACCCCAAATGTCAGCATCAAAAGGATGCGACAGGGAGCGCTCAGCCCCGCACCCATCCACACCAGGGGGCAAGAAGGGCCGCCTGCTAAATCCATTTCTCCATAGCAGCTCCCTGTGCGAGCAGGGGACACTCAGTGACTTTTTGGGGAGGGCAGGAGGCAGATGGCATCCCGCCGCCTGAGGCGTGAGGGTCCGGTCCTTCCGGGGGTGAAAAAGCACCCCGTCAGATCCGTGTCCTTCGGTCCCACACAGCCGACGGGGATCCTGTGCGTGAGCCGCCCTCGCTGGCGCTGCTGGACCCCTCCCGCCCCCCACCGGGGCCCCGGGCCGGCAGCGGCCGCACTCACGGTTCCAGTAGACGGGGTAGCACTCGGCGTTGGCCACGTCCACCTCGTAGAGTCCGCTCCGCACGCACACCGGTTCCACCGCCGTCCGCTCGGGGCCGGGGCCGAGAGCTCGGAAGGCCAGTTCGATCCGCAGCGAGTCGTAACCGATGAAGGGCTTCCAGCTCTTCCGGTCCTCCCGGTAGAACCAGCGCACCTCCTCGGCCCCCAGCTCCCGCACCACCTCATAGCGGGGCCGCCCGCCGCCCGCCGCCGAGCGCTGCCGTTTCCTCTCGGGCAGCGCGGAGCCGCCGCCGCTCTCTCCGCTCGCCAGCCCCGCGCCCTCGCCGCTTTCCCCGGTGCCGGAGGAGTAACGCAGCGAAGCGCCGGACTCGGCCGAATCGAACTCGCCGCCGCCGGTCGAGTCGCTCGGGGTGGCCGCCTCCGGTTCCCCCTCCTCCTCGGAGGAGGTGGAGAGCGCGGCGCGGAGCGGCGGCATGGAGCGCTGCCGGGGGCGGCGGGGCGGGCGGGCCAGGGGATGCTCCGCCGCTTCCTCCTCCTCCTCCTCCTCGCCACCGGCCGCCCGCTCGTAGCGGCCGCCGTAACCGCCGCCGCCGCCTTCCCCGGGCAGCTCCCAGGCGCCCTGCGGCGAGCCGGGCTCGGGGTAATCCATGCCGCGCCGGCGTCGCCTCACCTCGGCCGCCCTCGCGCCGCCCAGCTCACGCCCGGCTCGCGGCTGCCGCAGCCGCCGGCTCCTCCGCCCGGCCGGGGGCGGGGCCGCATCGTCACGTGCACCGCGACGCGGCCGGGGGCGGTGCGGGGCGGGGGGGAAGGGAGGCCTGGGCTGAGGGCTGAGGGCTTCCTGGCGGTTGCTGCCTGCTGCCTGCGCTTGGGCTGCATTACGCAGTTTGCGGGAACTGCCGAGCGTTTACCCCCGTCAACCCCCAGCACGTCCCGGGGTTACGTGGCATCCGCACGTGTGTCACTGAATCGCGGAATATCTCGGGTTGGAAGGAACCCGCAGAGATTGCCGTGCTCCTGGCTCCACGCTGACTACCCGAGCCCTGTGGCTCACTGGCACAGGTTGCCCCAGGAGGCTGTGGATGCCCCATCCCTGCAGGCATTCAAGGCCAGGCTGGATGTGGCTCTGGGCAGCCTGGGCTGCTGGTTGGTGACCTGCACACAGCAGGGGTTGGAGCTGGATAAGCACTGTGCTCCTGTGCAACCCAGACCGTTCTATGATTCTATGACTCAAAGCCATGTCCCAGTGTTCCCTGAGCTCTGGCAGCCCAGGGCCATACCCACTGCCTCTGGGGCAGAGCCTTGCCCTGACCAACCTTATCCTCGCAGCTCCATTTTGTTTCCCATAGAGCTCAGCACTCAGCTTGCTGCAGCAGCTGCAAGGCCTCCCCTCTGCCTGCTCTGTTCTGGGCCCAACAAACCATGGGGCCTCAGGCATTTTGCACACACCTTGCCTTCCAGACCCTTCCCCATCCCCATAGTGGATGGTGGCTACATGTCCTCCTGATATTGCGGTGCTCAACTTGCACCTGGTGCTCGAGGTGAGGCCACACCTGCTGCTTTGGGGATGTCTCAGCCCAGTGTGAGATCCCAGTCCTCCGAATGCTTGCTATGAGTACCAAAAAGGGAGGTGTTGGACCCCAAAATGAGAGGTGCTGGGGCTCACCTGTGCTTGTTGGTGTGTGTGAGCCACAACCAGCCACCTCCCTGCCCTGTGCACACCTGGCACTCGGCAGGAGGGGGTGCTGAGATGCGTATCGGTGCCGGGTGATAAAACACTTTGTTACGTCAGGAGCGAGGATGAGGGATGGTTTTCAGTCCCCAACACACACCCAGAGATGGATCACTGCTGGGTGTACGTCCCCCTCGTCTTATCTCGTGGCTGCTGTGGGGGTGGCAGAGGGAGAGCTTCCCAGAAACACACCCTGAAATACTGGGGTGGGGTCACCTGTTTGTACGAAACCCCCCGTATTGCAACACCCCCAGGAACGAGGAGGTGGGGTGAGGGTATGTGAGCGATGCTCCTATCCTGCCTGCACATCAGCTGTGGAAAAAAACAGGATGCAGTATGCGTGTTCCCCAATTCCCACATCTCCTGGAGCTGGGATTCCACATCCTTAATGCACCATTCCCTTCTGCTTGGCTCTGTCCTGCGAGGGAAGTTCTGTGTACTGCATGGCATTGTATCTCCCAAAATAGGTTTGTGACCTACCTGCTAGATCCACTTTCAGCGGGGGAATCCTTTTAATGGACTGCATTAAAACAGAAAGAGGCCAGATGAAGTTCAGGTTGGAAGGATGGGCGAAGCTTTTAAAAAATGTTTGCTGTGGGTGAATGCATCTTGAATGCCTGGCAACACTTTTTGATCCTAAAAACTCCACAAAACTTTGTTAGCATTCACACGCTTTCACCACGGGAGCTTTGTGAGTGCTCCTTCTGCATTCTCAGGTGGGGAAAAAGTAAAAAGAGAGGAGATGAAATATAGGCAGCCGTCAGAGGAAGCTGTGCTTGACTTCATATCCACGTCAGCCTAGCAACAGGGACATGAGCTACTTGTTTCATTTTGCATTTCTAAATGAACTCAACAAGGTATGCTTTCCGTGAAACCTGCCCCAGATTTTCCTCAACAGTGGGGAAGAAGAGGAGAATGCCACAGAGTCATAGAACCATTAAGGTTGGAAAAGATGACTGAGATCACCTCGTCCAACTGCCAGCCCACCCCATCATGCCCACTGACCAGGCATCCCTCAGTGCCACATCTCCACGGGTCTTGAGAACCTCCAGGGACGGAGGCTGTCGATTGCTTTGAAGACACATCCCATGAGATTCTCATTTCCATCCTCATTTCTGTCAAAGCCAGTGGGGTTTTCACCATCTTTTGTCATTCAGCAAGTGTTTCGCCCTTCTTCATTTATGTCATCCTACTCGGATGCTCCCTCCTTTTCTCCTTGTTTGAGAGAACAAGGAAAGGTTGCCTAAAAAACCAAGGGACACATCATGTTCTTTATCTCATGTATGTATTATTTCAGATGACTTGATCTCTGATTCTGTGATTTATTTCTTCTTGTGCATTTCTGGGAGTGTGTGTCTGCTGTCCATTTGCAGACGCTGCTTTCTTGTTCACAAAGTCCCTGTAGACTATAGGCAAACAGAGATTGTTCATCATCATCAGGCTGAACCACAGCATCAAGAGCTGCAATTTGACTTTTCTTTAGAGCCATTTTGGAGACCTACAAAGACAAGTGGCAGAAAACTGGTTTATTGAATGTGAAGGGACCTGCAGAACCTCAAGTTCCCTCCCAGAAATGTCCAATTTCTGCTCACTTTGAATTTCTGGGGGAGATCTTCGCTGGGGTAGGCTGGTGTGAATGGAAGTTGGGAGCCCAGACCTCTCTCTCTAGAGCTCAGAAGAGGAACATTTTCCTCTTTGTGTGGTTGGGAACACACAAAGTGGGTGTGGAGTAGCACAGAAGTTCCTGGCGTGTCACAGGACTCTACTCCCATCACTGCTGATGTACATCAAGTAAAAAGTAAGAGTCAGTGTGCAAGGGCAGAAGTTCCCTTACAGAGGAAATATGTGGAAGAATGTGAGTGTCTACGTGGAAAGTTTAAAACCAAATGGCATTAATTTTGAAGTGTTGTTTGTATAGCTCTGTGAATTTCTATGCAGACTAAGATCAGTCCTGTATGTCATGAAACCCTCACAGAAAGCTTCCACAGACCATCAATCGATACCCAAACATGTTGGCAACTTCCAGGAAAGGGGAACACAGTTCCCCATGAATCTGGTAGCATGGGTATAACTGAAAGTGTAAAGGGCTTCCCTTAATTAAGCTCATTTTACCTAGTCGCTTGGATTCCTTTTGTCGCTGCTATTCTAATTATCCACATCCCAACAGTTTTGTTTTCAAGAGCAGCTGCTCCTGTTGGTGCTACTTTATACAGTGTGGCCAGTTTTGAAATGATCACAATGCACAACTGATGCCATCATCTTGTGATTTCTTCCAGATCCTAAATCAAATACAGTGAACAGCACGAGGCCGAGTGCCTGCAGGAGTGCATTAGTAACAGTCTTTACTCATTGATGAATCCTTTCTAACAAAGCCATTTTAAGATCTTTCCATTAGCTATTTTTAAACCATTTCTTATGCACTGGTATTGATTTTGTATATAACTTTTTCTTCAAATCTGGATACTGTGCAGCTCTGAGTCAACATGGTTACTGCTGTCAACTGCACCTGTGATTTTATCAAGGAACAGAATGAAAATGGTTCTTTGACAGGAACGTTTACATTTCCCATGAAAACTGCTGATTGCCATCTCATTACATCCCCTCTCTCCGTCTCCTTATTAATTGGTGCATGCCACTTCTCTATAGGTAGGTCAGAAGTGTCAGATGAACCAACATGAGTTTACCTCAGTCACACACTTCAAATATTGACACAGCGCTGAGTTTCACCTTAGAAATGGTCCTCTGGCCCAATTCTAGACTCTCACGTTCCCACCTTGTGTGAGAACAGTCATCTGAACAGCGAGCTCTTAAAACCCTGACGTGCAAGTCCTCTGGACCTGCTGCTTTTCAAATGTCAGCTGTGCTGTTTAATGTTCTTCTTTTTTTAAGTTGTTTGCATGGGAAGCATTTCATCATCATTATATAACGTAGAAACAACATTCAACTTTGTCCCAAATACAGGCGGGAAATATTTATCAAACACTTCTGCTTTTTTCAGTTTCACAGCTATCCAAATATATTTGGGTTCACTGAGAGTGTTAGGAATTGGTCTCTGCTAAAACATTGTTCATCAAATTAAGCAGGCTTCCAAAAATCTTTGCTTACACCTTGATATTTTCTGCTCAGAAGACATTGACTCCAGGCTCTTTTAGAAAGGATGTTGGTTAACTGGATTAACCCCCCCTCCAAAATAGACCTCGGTTCTGCTTTCAGCCATGGAAAGCTTGTCTGCTTGTTTTCCTTTTACTTGAACGCCAGCAGTTTTGGTCCATCTCCTGAGCCAAGGTCAGCTGTGCTTTTCTCTAGAACTGAGATGTTCTTCCAAAGCTACGGCTTCATCTCTCTTTCCCCCTGCTGCCAGCAGACACAGAATATCCTGCTAGCTGTAAAAGACAAGAGCTGGGGGCAAGGAGGGGTCATTTCTTAGATATCACATACCGTCCCTCTCAAGGCAGCATTGTTCAATCGTACAGCTTTTTCCCCCCTCTTTTTCTTTTGCTGTTGTTACAGGGCAAACAAAAAGAAGAAAGCAAAGTAATGACCCCTGACAGAAGTGTTTACCCTTTCAGATTTTGGTCTGGTAAAGCTTGCATGGACTGAAGATTAGGTGCTTGTCTGTGCATTGATGAGACCCACAGAAAGCCACGCACAGGCAGCCTGCTGGCAAAGAAAAGGCTGAACTAGAGCCATGCCTAGGCTCAGCTGCCCCATCTCCTCCTGTTCTCTCCTTCTGGGGGTATATATTTTGCCCTTTGTGCAGGAGTGAGTCGAGCAGGGTGACTGCCCCATCGCTGCAGGTCCCCAAGGCTAGGCTGGATGGCCCCTCATCAGTGGGAGCTGTAGCAGGGGTTGCAGTCAGACGGCTTTGAGCTCCCTTCCAACCTAAATCAACCACATCATTCTTCTTCAACAAGATGAAGAGGGGTTGATGGCACTAAAGAAA